GTTAGTTAGTTAGTTAGTTAGTTAGTTAGTTACGTTACGTTACGTTACGTTACGTTACGTTACGTTACGTTACGTTACGTTACGTTACGTTAGTTACGTTAGTTAGTTAGTTAGTTAGTTAGTTAGTTAGTTGTTGTTGTGTTGTGTGTGTGTGTGTGTGTGTGTGTGTGTGTGTGTGTGTGTGTGTGTGTGTGTGTGTGTAGTAGTAGTACGTACGTAGTAGTACGTACGTACGTACGTACGTACGTACGTACGTACGTACGTAGGTACGGTACGGTACGGTACGGTACGGTACGTACGTACGTACGTACGTACGTACGTACGTACGTACGTACGTACGTACGTACGTACGTACGTACGTACGTACGTACGTACGTACGTACGTACGTACGTACGTACGTACGTACGTACGTACGTACGTACGTACGTACGTACGTACGACGTACGACGACGACGACACACACACACACACACACACACACACACACACACACACACACACACACACACACACACACACACACACACACACACACACACACATCTTGGCAGAGCACGGCCTGTCCTAGCCCTGAGGATATCAAATGCTAATGCAGCGGGCCATTTGCATGTACTCACATGTAGCCTCTCCGCAAATGTGCAACACTTTGAAAACCAACGCTGGCCTGCTCTCAGCGTCAGCATCTATTTATGACAATAGAGCGAGATATGGAGAGCTGCATGTGAGAAAGGACGGAGGGTGAACACAGACATTACCAACCACCCTCCACCCATCCATCATTTTCTGTTGATTTGATTCCCTCTCTGCCATTTTCTGCCATTATCACTGATGATATTATGGCTGCCTGTGGTGCAGAGTTACATTTAGAGGTCAAAACTATACTTTCCTGTATTAAAAACAAATGTATCCGCCCCGATTCGCCGGTCAGAGGCTCCATTTAGCTTATTGAAAAAGCTAGCCGCTCAGAGGATGCAACATTGGATATCAGGATAGAAACCATCATCTGGAATGAAACGTCAACAGGCCATATCCAAAACAGATCATTTTTCAGTCTTTATGTGCTATTATGTCTAAAATAATGATTTCAGTGTCTCCCATAATCTAATGAAAGATAAGTGATGGTGGTGGAAGCCATCTGCTTTGCTGGAATCGATGAACTGTCAAGAGCGTGAGGGTGGAAGAGAAAGTAAATGTTGCTGTGCCGTGATCAATAAAAGTAGAGTTGAAAATGAGCAAGCCCCATGTATCAGTCTGTGTTGTTTCCCTCTCGGCTGGAGCTGCTGTTTGTCCCCACCTCCATGCAGTCAGCTGGCATCTGGTGGGTGAAGAGATGGAGGTGAGAGACAGGAGGCCTTCTGGTGCTAAAGGGGGGGGGACAGGAGGAGTGTGGAGGAGGATGTGTTAAAATGTGTGTGAGAGGTGGAAATACTGTGGGCAGATATGGTGGACAGCTGGATTGCAGATTCACACCATGAGAGGAACATCGCAGGCTGATTCCTGTGACAATCAGCCTCCACAGACACATCAGCTGCTGCTCATCAGAGAGCCAATCATCTCGCTGACATCAAGTGAGCTCAGCTGAGTTCATCTTGCTCGAGAAGCTTTGAAGAGGCATAAGGACGGTTACTGTAATCTGTTCTTTCTTATATTCACACTGTATAGATCAGGGGTGTCCAAATTCAGCAAATTCAAAAACTACAAGGAAATCTGGCCCACAAAGGAAACTTCTGCTTGTCTTATATTATGTTCAAATATATTACACAGTATTCATGTGTTAATAAGCCACATGTTCAAATACATTCAGTCAATTAAAGTTGGAAACATTTTCTAACAAATCTAAGCTGATGAGAAAAAGATATAACCCCAATAACTTATTTCCTTAACAACCTTGAAATATACCCTTCCTATTTCCTCTTATTATAATCAATCTGAAGCTTCTGTTTTAAGGAATGAGCTGCCAACAAAATAACTGAAGCCCTCTGGAGAGCTGTGGTGTAGGCTGTTTTTTTCTTAAAGCATTTTCAAGTATCAAGAATAATTCATTGGATTGATTTTTCCAATTTATAACTTCACTTATGAGGCAGTATAACTCGCCTCCAGTCCGCGGCCCAGCCCTTCGTATGTGTTTCTGTATGTGGCCCTCGGTGATAAAGGT